CTGGCGGATCAGTGGCAGTCCGGGTAGCAGGGGGAGCTATGTACCGGTTACCCACGGCCAAAGTGCATTTGAACTGGGGTGCTGGGGAGGGGGTTGTAGAGGTGGCCATAATGAAGAAACTACCGGCCGATGTTGTTTTGGGGAATGACTTGGGCCCGATGACCTCTGCGTTTCTTCCCCAGGCCCCTTCCCAAGAGGCGCATCCGGTAACCACCCGGCAACAGGGCATTCCCCGCACACTCTGAGGCTCAGGTAAGACACCATGACCCCCCCTTGACCGACATGACTTGGGACACCCCGACCACATTTGAAGCTGAGGTTCAGACAGACCCCACACTGCAGGTGTACCGAGATAGGGTAGACACGGACCAGGTGGGGCGGGAGGGAGAACGGTACGTATGGGAAAAGAAGTTACTGTACCGGGTGGCGGAACGGGCCATAGGCAGCTCTGTGACGCTCCAAACCAAGCAACTAGTAGTGCCCCAGAAATATAGGCAGGAGTTACTAAGAATCGCCCATGACATCCCTCTGTCCGGCCATCTAGGGATGACCCGGACCCGATATCGCTTAACGCACGCATTCTTTTGGCCCGGGATTTCCAAAGACGTAAGGCAATATTGTACCTCCTGTGATGTGTGCCAGAGGGTAGGCAAAAGGGGGGATCGCCATAAGGCCAAACTATGTCCCCTCCCCATAATTGAGGAACCGTTCAGCCGGGTAGCAGTAGATATAGTAGGACCACTACCAAAGCCCAGCCCCTCTGGGAAACGGTATATCCTGACCGTGGTGGACTACGCCACCCGGTACCCCGAGGCGATTGCCCTAACTAATATCCACGCGGAGACCGTAGCCGAAGCCTTGATGAAAATCTTCTCCCGAGTGGGGTTCCCACAGGAAATGGTCTCAGATAGGGGGACCCAATTCACGGCTGAGGTTACTCAGCAGTTATGGAGGATATGTGGCATAAAGCCGATCATTAACTCCGCGTACCACCCGCAATCCAATGGATTATGTGAGAGATTCAACGGTACCCTAAAACAGATGCTTCGAACATTCGGAGAGACCCATAAGGACTGGGAACGATTCCTTCCCCATCTGTTGTTCGCATACAGAGAGGTGCCCCAAGAGTCTACGGGTTTTTCCCCCTTTGAACTATTGTTTGGGAGAAGGGTCCGGGGGCCGTTGGATCTCATTAGGGAGCATTGGGAGGGAGAGAGTAGTGCAGATGGGACCCCTGTTGTACCCTACGTGCTGGCGTTCCGGGATCGCCTGGAGGAATTGACCCAGGCGGTGCGCACCAACCTCCAGGCCGCCCAACAACGACAGCGTCGTTGGTATGACAGAGGGGCCAGAGACCGTAGCTTTCAAGTGGGGCAGAAGGTGCTAATCCTTAAACCAGTCCGCACCGATAAACTACAGGCCGTCTGGCAGGGCCCATACCAGGTGGTAGAGCAGAGATGCGATACCACCTATGTGATCGGCCCATGCTCCGGAGTAGGGAAGAGACGCATGCTCCATGTGAACATGCTCAAACCCTACCACGAGCGGACGGAGGACGTGGCAGCTATTTGCACGCCCGCCTCCGAAGATCAGGAGAACCTGCCCCTTCCTGATCTGTTAGAGCAGGAGGAGCAGAAGGAACCCTCCCAGGGGGTTCAACTGGGGGAGCGGCTAAGTCCTCAAGAGCGTATTCAGGTACGAGAACTGATAGCAGCAAAGAGCGCTACCTTTTCTAATCTACCTGGGTACACTCCACTAGCCACCCACCGAGTAGAAACCCCGGGACAGCTTCCCATGCGACAGACTCCATATCGGATTCCTGAATCCGTGCGGGAACATATGAGGAAGGAAATCGAAGAGATGTTGCAGTTGGGGGTTATTGAACACTCAGATAGCCCCTGGGCATCGCCGGTAGTCCTGGTTCCCAAGAAAGATGGTACCACCCGGTTCTGTGTGGACTACCGGAGGTTGAACGACAAAACTGTGTCGGACGCCTACCCGATGCCTCGGATAGACGAACTGCTTGATAGGATGGCCAGGGGTCAGTATCTCACTACCATAGATTTGTGTAAGGGATACTGGCAAATCCCACTAGCCGAGGACGCCATTCCTAAGTCGGCGTTTGTCACCCCGTTTGGCTTGTACCAATTTCGAGTCATGCCATTCGGGATGAAGAACGCCCCCGCGACATTCCAGCGGATGGTGGATCGGCTACTGGACGGGTTCCAGGACTATGCGTGTGCATACCTGGACGATATTGCCATCTACAGTCAGACCTGGTCGGATCACCTACAACACATAGGGGCTGTAATAGATCGGATCCGGGAGGCAGGGCTTACCTTAAAACCCAGCAAATGCCACATAGGGATGGCAGAGGTCCAGTACTTAGGACACCGGGTTGGTAGCGGGCAGCAGAAGCCTGAGCCCGCAAAGATTGAAGCTGTAGCCCAGTGGCCTACCCCTAGGACCAAAACCCAAGTCCTGGCTTTCCTAGGTACCGCAGGGTATTACAGAAAATTTGTACCCAACTACAGTGCCCTGGCCAAACCCCTGACTGATTTGACGAAGAAAAACCTGCCCCGGCAGGTCGTCTGGGCCCCAGAGTGTGAACAGGCATTCAACCAGCTGAAGACGGCTCTGACCAATGCCCTGTACTGGCTGCTCCTGATCCAACTAAACGTTTTCTTGTTCACACAGACGCCTCAATGTTTGGATTGGGAGCAGTACTGAGCCAGGTCGGAGCCGATGGCGGAGAACACCCCGTAGCCTACTTGAGTCGGAAGCTGCTACCCCGAGAAGTGAGCTACGCCGCCATAGAGAAGGAATGCCTGGCCGTGGTGTGGGCCCTGAAAAAGTTACAGCCGTATCTCTATGGGCAACCCTTTTCTTTGCTCACAGATCACAACCCGTTGGTGTGGCTAAACCGTGTGGCGGGAGACAATGCCAGGCTGCTGCGCTGGAGTTTGGCGCTGCAGCCCTTTGACTTTACAATACACTACCGCCCAGGGAAACAAAACGGTAATGCCGACGGGTTGTCCAGACAAACAGACCTTGAGAAGTGATCTGTGAGCACTCCCCCGGACACCCCCAAGCCGATCCGTTGGGATCAGGCTGTGTATGCCGGCTTGGTTCTGGGGGAGCATTGTGGCAAACCTAGCCACTTGGACAATAACCAGAGACTGTGCCTTTAAGGGTTGCCACTAGGTCGGGCGAGATATGCGCTGTACACATATGTAGATGTTAAGGTATTTTCCGTGTTGCCTGTAATACTGTTTCCGCCGAATGCAATTGGCGGTTTTGTATGGGGATTTTCTTTCGTTTCACGAACGGCACTTTAGAAAGCCGTTCGTGAACCGAACGCGATACCCCCTAATAGCCCACACACTTAGAGGCGTGTGGCGCTAGTTAACCGATTGCAACATTGTTGCAATCGGTTATTAGAGGCTCTCCTGGGTGGCCGTCGTTCGACTACCGACCATGCGGCGGTCGGCCATCTTGGATCCCTTGTTCGTCAGCGGGTTCGTGTCGTCGAACGCATATTACTACCAATAGTTATTCGACGGCACGAACACCGCTGAGCCTCCCAGACGTTCGGGAGTTTCAGGACCAAGTTCACCCAAAGCAATCGGTTCCTTTTATGGGTTTTGTAAGAAATGTGTTTTCTGTGCGGCGTTCGGTTAATTTGGCTGGGATCTGAGCGGCAATCTCACGAATGATGCGCCCAGACCCCAGCTATCTACCGAACGTCCATTCGTGTAAATCCACCGTGTATTTTAAAAGTTATGTATTTTTATATGAATTGCCGGTTCTGCTGCACGAGGGGATAATCCCCTTAACGGTGCATTCTGGGAGGATGATCCCTCTCGTGCAGCAGTGCCTGATGGGAGAAATAAGTTATACTGTAAGTCCCCCATGTAGTCCCCTCTGGGAATACCCCTGGGAAGGGACTCAGGAGACCCCTTGCATGGGGACTTGTATAAATTGTCGTGCTGAATAAAGGATTGGCAGTTGACTCCCAAAACTGTGTCTCGTCCGGTTATTGGGAGGTTGGGGATATTGCCTTGGTGTTTTCAGCGCTTGACTGTGGATTCGTTCTGGACCAGCGGAATTCGTGGATTTTATATTGGCGTTCCGCTACAGAGCCTATGCAATTAAATCTGGCCTTTGAGATGGGGAGCGCTATACCTCTCTTAATTGATCCGGAACGTATGGAGATTTGCTTTTTATTGACCATACCATATGTAACTCCCAAAGACATTTTTCAAATGAAAATAATGTACTATGATAATAATGATATTATGGTTGATTGTACTAAGTGTAAAGTTCAAAACTTTTACAGGTACAAATATATACAAAAATGTTCATTCCACGCACGGGCCTATGTTAGAAATGATGTGATTGCACAATATGTCTGGTAACTTCTATAGTGCTTATTCATAAGCTAAATTAATTTTGGCTATGAAATGCACTAAAGGGGGGTTATGTCAGAGTATTTATATCGGCAGACATTTTGTGCTATGATAGAAACTAAAAGTGTATATTCTGAGTCACTCTGAACAGACCAGACTCCATTTTGTTATTCCAAGTTAACAAAGAGACACTATATTTCTATCTGCAAGCTAACCACTTTCCCAGAGCTGAGGAATGCATAGTATAAACAAGTGATAAGGAAGGGGGTTGGACAGACTGTCTAATGCTAAGAAGAATATAATCAAATCTAAACCCAGACAATTGTGACAGAGAAGATTAAATTTAATATTTAACTGTCTATATATATAAGGTACCATTGTATGGAAAAGGGTAAACTTAGTTCATGATCTGCCATATCAGAAAAAAAACTCAGATTTGCAGACACATAGTCTGGACAAAATTTAAGAACCCCTTTGATCTTTGAAGGATATGTAAGTTATAGCCACTATCTAGATAGGCCAAAATGACGTCAAAATAGCCACCAGGAAAAGTTAACTCTTTCCTGGATAGGTATGTTTAGTGGGACAAGACTGCCCTCTACAGACCAAATAACTAATTTGCGATCTGGAAGATAACCACACCTCTAGTGCTTCTATTGGGTTATCAACTGATGACGTACAGAGAGTCTGGCCCTTTAAAAGTTAAGACAAAGGGAAGATAGAAGATACGAAGGAGGCAGATGCAAGATATGCAAAGGAGAGAAAAGAGAGGAATTGGAAGTTTGGGGACTCCAACCTCCATGCAGAGACACATCCAAATAAATTCCTGAGACTACCAATCGGATGAAATATCTACTCAACTGGTAATTATACTGGTTTCATTTAATTAAATTAAATTAATTAAAATGTATTAATAGCATTATATATGACTGGATAAAGCACGGTCAGATTTCCATATTAAGAAATCTTAGTTAACTAAGAATATATAGTTATAAACATTCCATTCTGCAGGTGGAATTAAGAATAATTATATATTGATGTGATATTATCACGTGTTAGCATACCGCTGTTTTTATCCAGGTGTATTGATTTGCTCTAAATTAAGATAGATATCTTTTAGACAAATTAAAAATCTGCTTATATAATATGTAGATTCTCTTATTGGATGGTTTAAGAAAATGAATTTAAACTGGTTTAAATGTTATTTTATTTAAAAATTACATAAGAATAGATCTTAACTACCTAGGAGATCTAGCCAGCATTGAAAGGGTTATTCTAACGCTGCACTCTGAGGAATTCTGTTCTTCACTGTGAAAAGTTTCACTTTCAGCCTGTGTTAAAGATAGTCATAAATAATTCTTGACAGGAAATGCTATTTAGCCATTGTAACGTAATACCCATTTCTTTGTATTGCATACCAATTTATACTGAATATTCATTGATTATTGTCATGCATGTTACATGTTATTATTATTAATTTGTTATCATAAATAAAATCAATTTTTATACATTGTGATTAATTATATGAAATACATTCCACTTAACACGATAAACGTTCTTTGGGATCTGAGAATTGAAATAGTGGGCAATTCTCACTGTTACTATTATTATCCCATAAATATCCCCACAATATATATATATAAATATAAAAATACTTAGTTTGACATTGTGTATATAAGATATATATATATATATATATATATATATATATATACACATATTATATATAGATATAATACATGGGTACAACGGCGACCGGGTGAGTAAATATTTCCGTTATGACGGTTCAGGTCCGTCACTTGTCCTCAAAGGGATTTTTCCGATGACAGTCGTGAAGGGGTTAACTCCTATATGGCAGAGAATTGAGCAATGAAATTGCAGGGGTATGATCTATATACCATAACTGCTTCAGCAAGCTAAAGTGCTTTTAGTGACTATAGTGTCCCTTTAACCCCTTAAGGACCAAACTTCTGGAATAAAAGGGAATCATGACATGTCACACGTCATGTGTCCTTAAGGGGTTAAGGATGCACTAGTTTCATTCCACATTTATTTGGAGTGAAAACATAAATGTTTTCTGATATAGTGATATTCTTTATGAAAGAATAGCGACTTTGTATGTAACTAAAGGGTATTTCTCCTGAAACATTTATGATTTGCATTGCTACTCCAAATACATGTGTGGTATCTTGCGCTGATAATAATTTAATGAAACACAGATGATTCTCAGGCAGCCAATGAGTATGGATCCTTTCAGGGTTATCAACGAATTTAAAAAGTACTTGGAATTCATAGTGAATTTTAAATTTGAGGCCAAAGTGATTAAATGGAAATTCTCCAAGTCAGCTATGCTTCCAGTTTGGCTATTTTGTCCTTAAATTTGAAGTTAACTTTAAAGTCCTACTGTAGTGAATAACCCTGAAAGTTTGTAGCAAATATGTGCATATTATTGCCCAGTGGACTACAAAAAGGGAGACATAGTCTAACAGCCTGCAGAGCTTTACCCGTTTGCTCCAAAACAATGCACTAACTATACCCCAGCCCTAAAAGGGTTTAAAGGAATATTTGAAGCACCATAACAGTACGCAGCAGTAGTTATGGTGCTAGTAGTGCCCTTGCAGCTTAAATAGTGATAGGAGTTTCCATTAACTCCACTTTTTTAATCCCGCTGGCTGAGATGGTAAGGTGAGCACTCTCAACCAATGACCTAAGCCCTGGAATACTGGTTTAGTTCATTGCAGGAGCTTTTGGGCACAATCTCAAAAAGTTTGACTACTTATCCTGTGAGGGCGGCAGGAAAATTCAGACACCATAACTACAACTGCCCGGTTGTGCTTAGGAAGGTGTATGTGAGATATAATATGGACTGAATCTATAGGAATTTTTTTAACTTAGCAACGGCCCTGGCAATAAAACACATCCAAAGAACAAACCAACATCAGTATAACAAGGTAAATTTGAAGAACAGACTTTATTTTTGTAATAAAATGAACAATATATAAAATACATATTTCTAGGAAAACAATGGTGGTTCTGGCATGCTAAGTGTGAATTCTGCAGGTGAAGGCCAGTGAACCTTGCATGTTGTTAATGTGCATTTCACTCTGTATTTTATTTGGCAATGATGAAAATAGCTAAATCATGTTTTTATGCTACCACTAATGTGTTTGTTTCATAAAATGGGTGTGCCTTTTTATCTGAATAAATATTGTTAAAGTTGCCATTAGGAAGTGTGTGAGTGTATGTGAATGTTTGTCTTTGCATAATTGTCTTTGAATAAATGTTTGTGTTTGTGCATGAATATGTATGTCTCTTTCTGTATATGAGTATGTGTTGCTTTGTGAATAAAAGTTGGTTGTCATTGCCTTAATTATTTTTTATGTAAATGAATATGCAGGCTTGTCTTTGTGCATTTGTTGCATATGTCCTTTTGTCCGTGGAATAGAAACATAGAAACTTAGAATGTGATGACAGATAATAGCCATTCAGCCCATTTAGTCTCCAATTTTATGAATGCTTTCATTAGTCTCTTGTATCTAGAATAGCCTTATGCCTATCCCACGCATTTTTAAACTCCCTCACTGTGTTAAACTCTACCACTTCACTTGGAAGGCTATTCCATGCATCCACTACACTCTCAGTAAAGTAAAACTTCCGGATATTATTATTAAACCTTTGCCCCTCTAATTTAAGACTGTCCTCTTGTTGTGACTGTTTTCCTTTTAAATATACTCTTCTCTTTTATGGTGTTGGTTTCCTTTATATATGTAAATGTTTTTATCATATTCTCCTGTCTCGTCTTTCCTCCAAGTTATACTTTCCTCCGAGCTATACATGTTCAGATACTGTGTGGTTTTTTTTGGGGGGGGGGGTTTACTGAACTTTTTTTTTGGATTCCTGTTCTGACTCTTTATGAATTTGGTCAATTGTTTTTGGCCCCTCAGGTTTGTGTCGCGGTACCCAGTTATTTTTCCTCAGGTCCAGCACATCCTGCACCAAAAATCTAATCCTAGAAGAGGTCTTGTTTTTAATAAAGGTATTAAGCTTGTTGAAATAATTGTCCATGCCAGGCTGTGCATTTTCAAGGTGTTTTCCAACTGATGTCAACAACTGGCAGATGCATTCCATGGACTCCTCGGTGTTCTTATTTAGTAGCTTAATAAGGCAGTCTTTTATGGTGGCTTCTGAGAGTAACTTTAATTTAAATAGCTCCCCAATAAATTTGATGTTTCCAAGGGATCGCCTGAGTGCTCTTTTACAGGCATCACTCAATTCTTCCTTTATTCGAGCCTTTTCATTAGGTGATATAGTTGCCTCCAGTTCCTTCTGAAGTTCTTCAATTCTTTCACCACCTTTTTCACGTCTCTCAAACTCCACCTGGCAGAGCCTTATCAGCAGCCTGCGGAATGTAATGCACACGTCACGATTTTCTTCAGTTGGGACTTCAAGCCTCATTAGCCAGTTGCACATGTTTGCATATATAACAGCAAAATGAGGCTCTGCTACTGCTTTTTCAAATATGAGTTCTGTGACTCCTTTAAGTTGATGCTCTGTGTCTACAGAGAGGTCCTTTACCTGGTGAATTAAGTGCTCGAATGTCTGAGGAGTTATCTTATTCAGGATACCGCGAACTTTCCGAAACAGTTCTTCAGCCTTGACTCTACTGGGATCTTCGGTTGCCCTTTTCATGGGAGGTCTCCAAGCTTTTTCACATTTTTGCAGTTTCACATTCTCATTTAGTTCAAGGATTCGTCGATGTTCTTTAACAGGAGCTTGCGGAGACCTCATTTGATGGATTCCCGGTGGCAATCTGCGATTACCCTTAGAAGGGTAGCAGGAATTTGCAGATTGAGGTGTCCAATTTCTGCGAGTTAATTGTGATGGATCCACTGGCCGAAGGTGAGGTCTAATAACCATGCCTTGGTGGATTTTACAGATTTCAGAAAAGTCCTTTGGTTCCTCCGTGATCGATTTGAATTGGAGCAAGAAATTCCTGTCGTAGGATACCCTTTCTACCTTTGCTTTGATATCCAACTTATTTTGGAGTGAAGGTACTGCAAGGTCTTGGCTTTCTGTAATTGGCTTTGGAACCACATCAGCCTTGCCTGGTTGTTCTTTTTCTTCTGTTTCTGGCAATCCTTGTTTTTTAGGGTCACAGCTCAGGCTCCTATATGATGCAGGCTGATTATTCTCTATCTCAATTTGCTTCTGCTCAGGGGTGCCCTCTTGCTTAATTAGAAACAACTCCTCATGCTTAACAGTGGGGAAATCCAAAGTCATCTCAGAGGGATAAATCACAGTGGCAGAGTTTACTGGCAGCTCCTCTAACATTTCATTAGTGTGTGGTTTAGCAGGACAAACTGGGACATCAAGAAGAATACTCTGTTCCTGAACTGTGACAGTCTCCAGAGAATCTAAATTAGTAGGCTCAGGATGACAACCTGAAGTGGACTGTGGCAGAATATGAGGTTCGATTGCACAAACATGGCACTCTAGAGAAATGTGTCTAAACATGTGACAACCTCTGTAGCCTTTAGGGACATAGACTGCACTGAAGGACCAACTGTGACTGGGTCCTGAGAATCTATATTTGTAGGCTCAGATGGACAACTTAACGTGGACTGTGGCTGATCAAGGTTTACTGTCAACTCATCTGTCAATTCACTTGTATGAGGTTCGATAGTACGAAAAGGGCACTCGAGAGAATTGTTGTCTTCTAAACACATGACAACCTCTGTAGGTTCTAGAGACATAGACTGCAGCAAATGACAATGACCTGTGACTGGGTTCTGTGAATCTAGATTTGTAGGGTTAGATGAACTGAAAGTGGACTGTGGATGACTAAGGTTCACTGGCATATCCTCTGTCAATCTATTTGTATGAGGTTCAATAGTGCAAACAGGGCATTCTAGAGAATTGTAGTTTTCTAAACATGTGACAACAGCTGTAGGCTCTAGAGACATAGACTGCAGCAAATGACAAGGAATATCTTCTAGACTTGTGACAAGTTCAGGCTGTAGAATAGTATTCTGTTTATAATACTCAGCAGAATCTTTTTCATTTTCTGGTCCTTTTTTGACCACTTCCTTTTCTGGGACACTTGCAGCCTTTTCAGTTGCTATGTTTTGTCTTGGAAGTAATGTAGGCTTTACTTTAGTAACACGGAATAGGTTCCTGCAATTAAATAGGAAAAGTCAAAATACAATTGTAACAATTCTATCCTTTCCTCCCTTTCCATCCATCAGCCCATTTTGTCACTTATCTTATTCCTCTTCAGCTATCCTCTCACTTTGGTCTGTCAGCCAACCTATCACTTTGTATTTATCAGTTATCGCACAACTATAGTGACACTATTATATCATTTATATTTCATATAATACATTCTGGTTACAGCAATTTCAGTAGTTTATTTTGTACCATAAAAGCTTCTGTTTATTTTACAAAGCATTCATTATGGAAATTAGGTCATCCTTAGTAAGTTACATTGCCGTAGTACTTCCCAGTGATTTGTGATGTTGGTTCAGAAAGAGCAGTGACATGTTTCTCTATCTGTGGTTCTTCTCTCATTGGTTTTCTGTGTACACAGGCAGCCAGTGAGAGAACCAGGGTATTGGCTTACTGAGGACACTGCAGTTTTATTTGTATATATGTATGTATATATGGTCAATCATTCTGTGTTTCATAATACACTTACCTAGGTGGCTGACCACGTGTCATTAGTTTGTTGGTTTTTGTTGGAGTCACCCGAATATAGCATGCTACTTCGGGAATCTTCTCCTCTTTTCCATATCTGACATTAATGTTATGTCTAAAGCTTTTGAAGAAAAACACACAAAAAAACAAAGGTCAGGCTAATTATTACAGCACCCAGCATAGAGGTTAAATCTCATTTTGTTAAAACAAACATCAACAATCCCCCTCCCACCCACCCCCCACTCCTCACCACCCCCCTTTTGATTAATGTGATAATACAGTATTTACCTTCCATCATGCTCTGCAAATTTAGATGTATCAGAAGGGGAAAGGCAAAGTCTCTTTGTGCCTTGTTGGAAATTGTGTAGAATTTCTTCCACAAACCCACCATTCTGTTTCCATTGCTCCCCTTTCTTACCCTTTACATGATCTGGACAAACATCCAGATTTGATGATATCTGGGGCAATATCTGGGGCTCAGCTTTAAGAGGTAGCCTATTTAGGAAAGAAAAAGTGATTAGTGAAGTTTCATATTTCACACATTGGATGTTTTGTTTCTGGAATAACTGAGTGTGTTTCGGAGATGATAAAAGAAGCCATTATATATTGTACATTATTATTATTTGGGTCATATTGTAAAGGTTAAATAATTCAATTTGATTTGTAAAATCTATGAAATGTCTGGACTAATTTCATCCTGCATTTCATCCCTGTTGGTGCTGTCTGATTAGGACCTCAAAAACCTTTTTTAATTCCTATATATTTTATTTATTTTTTCCACCCCAGTATACCATGCCTGCTTATTTAATTTCAATCACTACAAATGGGCTAGGCTACACACATTCATTTTTTAGTTCATTTTTTATCTTGTGTGTTGTGAAAAATAACTAAAAGATGAAATTCATTAATATTTTAAGTACTTTAACCTGTATATTACTCCCATTCATTTTAAGATGAAACTGTTACATCTAAAGGAAAGCTATGTTATTTATAGAGGTGATGCCCATGAGCAAACCATCCTTTATTCAAATTTTTATCGAACTCTGACCTCCATCTTCTAATAACCCTATTTAATATGATACCTGCAGCCGCTGTCCACTTACCTCTCCGTAGACCAGGGGTGGGGAGCCTTCGGAATCTCCAGATGTTTTGGACTGCATCTCCTATAATGCTCTTACAGCCATAATACTGGCAAAGCATCAATGGAGATGTAGTCCAGAACATCTGGAGGGCCGAAGGTTCCCCACCCCTGTCGTAGACGTATGACAATGAATATCCTCTAGACTTGTGACAGCTTATAGTGACACTATCGGATCATTTGTCTCGTATATTCGATTCTGGTTACAGCAATTGCAGTAGTTTATTCGTACCATAAAAGCTACTGTTTATTTTGAAATGTATTCCTTATGGAAATTAGGTAATGCTTAGTAAGTTACGTTGCCGTAGCACTACCCACTGATTTGTGATGTTGGTTCAGAAAGAGAATTGACATGTTTCTCTGTCTGTATTTATTCTCTCATTGGTTTTCTGTGAACACAGCCAGCCAGTGAGGGAACCAGGGTATTGGCTTACTGAGGACAGTGCAGTTTCATTTGGATGTCCTAATAGCATTGTGGTCAATCATTCTGTGTCTCATGATACACTTACCTAGGTAGCCGAGCAGACATCTTTAGTTTGTTGGTTCTTGTTGGAGTCACCCGAATATAGTATGGTACTTCGGGAATCTTATCCTGTTTTCCAAAGCTGACATAGGTATGTCTAAAGGTTTTAAAGAAAAATGCAAAACACAAAATGGTCAGTCTACTTCTTATATCACCCATCGTAGAGGTTAAAATGTAAATTTGTTAAAACAAAATATCAACAATAGAAAAATGCACAAGATTCCCCCATTGATTTATTTGATAATACAGTATTTACCTTTCATCAAGCTCTGCAAATTTAGATGTAACAGAAGGGGGAAAGCAAAGTCTCTTTATGCCATGTTGGTAACTTTTTCGAGTTTCTTCCACAAGCCCACCTTTCTGCTTCCGTGGCTCCCATTTCTTACCCTTCTCAGGATCTAGACAAACATCCAGATTAGCTGAAACCTGGGGTAATATCTGGGGCTCTGCTTTAAGAGGTATCCTATTTAAGAAAGAAAAAGTGATTAGTGAAGTTTCATATTTCACACAGTGGATGATATATTTCTGGAATAACTGAGTGTTTTTAGGAAATGTTGGTTCAGAAAGAGCATTGATATCTTTCTCTGTCTGAGTTTTTTCTCTCATTGGTTTTCTGTGTACACAGACAGCCAGTGAGGGAACCAGGGTATTGGCTTACTGAGGACAGTGCAGTTTCATTTGGATGTCCTAATAGCATTGTGGTCAGTTATTCTGTGTCTCATGATACACTTACCCAGGTAGCCGAGCAGATGTCTTCAGTTTGTTGGTTTTTGTTGGAGTCACCCGAATATAGTATGGTACTTCGGGAATCTTATGCTCTATTCCATAGCTGACAAAGGTACGTCTAAAGCTTTTAAAGAAAAACACAAAACACAAAATGTTCAGGCTAATTCTCACAGCAGTTTAGAGGTTAACATGTAAATTTGTTAAAACAAAACATCAACAACAGAAAATAAGCACAAGATTCCCCCCTCCCCCATTGATTATTATGATCATACAGTATTTACCTTTCATCAAGCTCTGCAAATTTAGATGTAACAGAAGGGGGAAAGCGAAGACTCTTTCTGCCATGTCGGTACATTTTTCGAGTTTCTTTCACAAGCCCACCTTTCTGCTTCCATGGCTCCCATTTCTTACCCTTCTCAGGATCTGGACAAATATCCAGATTAGGTGATACCTGGGGTAATATCTGGGGCTCAGCTTTAAGCCTATTTAGGAAAGAAAAAGTGATTAATGAATTTTAATATTTCATACATTTGAAATTCTATTTCTGGAATAACCGAGTGTGTTTAGGAGATGGTAAAAGAAGCCATTATATATTATGCATTATTATTTGTGTTTTGAATTAGAAAAAAGGAAGAAAAGAGGAGAGAAGAGGAGCCTTTCCCGGTTTTTAAGGGTGTATCTCCGGGAAAGTGAGGTTCCCGGTTTCCCTCTGATGAGCTGACAGGCGAAACGCGCATCAGGGCGTTTAGGGTGCTGTAGGGAATAGATGAGTACGGCATTAAGATTGCCAATCTATGAGATGCTAAAGCAGATTTATCTACTATCTGATTAATCATAAAATCTCCCGTATATTAGAGGAGTTCTTAATAAGGGCATTCATTTCTCCAACAAGCCGTCTCCCCTTGCTATACCATTGACGTGGGGGGGCCGGTATTTGGGGTATTAATAGGCTAGGGATAGTGAGGATATGTTCCATTGACAGAAGGTGCCCTTGAAGGCACAACAGGGAGAGCATGTAAGAATCTTTTGTTCTTTCCCCCTTCTCCTTCCTTTTATGATACAACACAAATGGGTTACTCTATGATCTACATTAGTTTGTAGCCAACGAGGTCGGGATATAGATAGTGCACGTTTAACTTATTTCTTCCGGTGGGGTCTTGGGAATTGAGATAAGTGAACATTTAACAAACAGGAGATTCCCTGTACTTTAACTTCAGACCGTACAGTAACCATAATAGTAAATTACAGCTACAATAACAAGCAATAAATGTTATATTTGGTCCTTTAGTTTAACTGTGTGAATGGTAACAAATTAGTAAATGGGTGAATTAACACCGAGGGGAATGTAAAGCTAATAGAAATTCTAGAATATCTAGGGGATATTATCCTTCATCCAGAATAATTACCTGCCTATAATACACTAGCGCATAGATTCATCTAACCTTACATGTACCTATTTGACAATAAGTGGAAAACTTTATACATAAATTCACTTATGTGATTTAAGATAATTATACTATAGGACTTTATTCAAGGGGCTGTTATGTCCATAGAAGGTACCTAACTATACAATTTCCTTTTAGTGAAATCATCTAGTTATCAATTATTATTATTTTTTGTTTATCATCTTTATTATTATTGTTATTTTGTGTTTAATTATTTTTGTGTGATAGTGTGTGTTTAGTGTCCCCACTAGAAAGGGACTTTTAATTGACTTATTAAAAGTGACGTTTTAAATTATTATTTGTGTGGTTAACTAATTAACTTTGATTTCTCAAATTAATGTCATCCTGCATTTCATCCCAGGATGGTGCTGTCTGATCAGGGTCTCAAAACACCTTTATTCCTACATATTTAACTTTTTTTTTTTTGCACCCCTGTTTATCATGCCTGCTTATTTTATTTCAAATTTTATCACTACAAATGGACTACGCCACACACATTCATTGGTTTGCTTGTTTTAGCTTATCTGATAGGTACTCTTCTTAACAGATGAAAATTCAATTCACATATTAAGGATTTTAACCCTTATATTACTCCCATTAATTTCAAGATGGCACTATTAAATGTACAGGAAAGCTATGTTATTTATAGAGATGATGCCTATTAACAAACCATCCTTTATTCCAATCTCTAACTTACTCTGACCACCATCTTTTAATAACCCTATCTATTATGATAGCTGTAGCAGCTATTCCCTTACCTGTCCGTAGAAGGCTGGATCTTTGGCTGTTTTTTCAATTCTTTTTTAGTAGAATTCCTGGATGGGGGTTGAGTACCCCACAACCATAAAACCAGGGGATGTTCAAATATAGAAATAGTGTTAACCATTGTCTCTGTAAAAAATCTCACTGCAATGTAAATGCTTGTGAAATGGTAGTAGGACCAGCAGGAGTAGGGTTTCTGTCCTCTGGTCAGCGACATCACAATCAAACCTGATTGTCTAAATGCAGAAACAATGACTGACTGCATAATGTCTATGGAAATTAAATCAAATTTAAAATTTAAATAGAATTTAAATGATAGGTACAGAAACCACTTAATTTTACAATTTGTTGTTGTGGCGTTAAAGGGATACTGCGGCCACCATAACACCAAGATCAAGATTTTGTAATTTTGTCTTTGTTCATTGACAATATTAACAAAGTTCTCTAAGCACCAACACAACTTTAGCTTAATAAAGCAGTGTTGGTGTATAGATGATTCCATGCACTGTCAATGCACTGCTCAATTTTCTGCCATTTAAGAGTTAAATCAGTTTTGTTTCTGTTTATGCAACTCTAACCAAACCTTCCCGGACAGTGACTCACACAACCAACTTGACAAAAAAAAAGTTTCATTTTCAATCAGATGTAACAGCACTGTGTGTTCACTTTGCAGATTTTATGTATTGCACTGTTAATTGACCATTCATAGCACACAGGAGGTTCCTGCAGACTATTAACAGAATATGGGAGATGAAATTCTAATTTAAGCAGACTGTGCAATAAAGGAAGTTTCAACATTAGATCTCTCTTCACAGGAAATGTGTATGGGAGACTTTTTAGGTCAAGTTCAGGGAGGTGTGATTAGAGCTGCATAATCAAAGTGATTTGACCCCTAAATGGTAGAGAATTGAACTGCTTAAATAATTCCTATATATTTTACTTTGGGGGGTTTATGCACCACTGTATACCTTGCCTGCTTGCTTTATTTCAATACCTATAAATGGGCTAGGCTAAACACTTTCATTTTTTTTGTTCATTTTGTATCTCTTCTGTTAACATAAATAACAAAAAGATGAAACTTAAATTCACATTGTAAGAATTTTAACCCTTCTATTACTTTTCATTTCAAGATGACACTGTTAAATCTACAGGAAAGCTATGTTATTTATAGAGGTGATGCCCATTAAGAAACCATCCTTTATTCTAATCTCTGTTGAACTCTAACCCATTCTTCTAATAAGTCTATCTAGTATGATACATGTAGCAGCTAGTCCCTTACCTGTCCGTAGAAGGCTGGATCTTTGGCTGTTTTCTGAATTCTTTTTTAGTAGAATTCCTGGATGGGGGTTGATTACCCCACAGCCATAAAACCAGAGGATATTCAAATATAGAAATAGTGTTACTCATTCTTTTAATAAATTATCCCACTGCAATGAAAATGCTCGTGAAATGCTAGTACAACCAGCAAGAATAGGGTTCTCTATTCTCTGGTTAGTGACATCACAAATGATGTACTAGATCCCCAGATGTTGCAGAATTACAACTCCCATGATGCTTTGCATGCCTTTAGAATAACAACGCATCATGGGAGTTGTAGTTCTACAACATCTACATCTGGGCATCTGCCTATTAGCATTGTTCTAGTTGCAGAGAGAATGGCTAACTGCATAATGTCTATGGAAATGTAAATCTAATTGAAAATGGATATGGAGTTTAAATGATAGAAACAACTTAAAGGGACACTATAGTCAACATATAAAAGCAAGAAAGACAGGTCCCCCAGCCGTCTTTTTTGCTTTTATATGAAATTGCCATTAAATAAAAAAAACTGAGTAAGTTTTAATAATAAAACTTATCTCCATTCCAGCGCTGAGCTCCCCACTAGGCCACGCCCCCTTTTTCAGAAAAATTATGAAATCGCAGGGCACAATGGGATGCTTCTCCTCGAGAAGCGTCATCGCAATGTGGTGCGCATGCTCGAATCCCGCCCTATGAAGAAACTCAGTGCTCAACCGCGCATGTGCACAGATCGCAAGCTGAGCTATCTGACTCACAGCTCAGCTCGCTTTCTATACCCGCCCCCCTCCTCAGCCAAACTGTGTGTTTGCATGTTTGCATAGAAACACTATATATAGAGTTGTCTCTATATATAGTGTTTCTATGCAAACACACAAGTAGTAAAAAATTAAAGACCTACACACACACTCTTTCTCCATCCATCCATCCCCATCATCCATATCCATCCATCCCCATCATCCATATCCATCCCCATCATCCGTATCCATGCCCATCATCCATATCCATACAGTCACCCACACTCACTAAATCAGTTTACTTACAGTTTGAATCCTCCCCTCCTCCTCGGTGTCCGGTCTTCAGCGTGTCTGCTCAAGCCACTCCCACGCAGACAGGATGCTCATGCACAGTTCTGCCAGAGCTGCCCAGAGCTCTGCTGACAGCAGATCTGAGTGGATTGAGGCATTTTATGCCTCAATCAACTTGGAAGTCCCTCTGTTTCACTGTGAGTGACTGCAACTGGAGGTGTCCCTAGCTTTGAATGTAAACACTGTATATTCTCAAATACAGTGTTTACATGAGAAAGGCTGCAGGGAGCTATAGGTCTCACCTGAACAACCTCATTAAGCTGAAGTTATTCAGGTGACTATAGTGTCCCTTAAATTTCCCATGTTGTGGTTGTGGCATTAAAGGGTTACTCAGGCCACCATAACACCTTCATCACAATAAAGTTATGGTGTGATGAGGTCCATGGCACCATCTCACCTTAAGATGTTAAACCATTATCAGTTTAACCCCAAACACTGCTCCTATACTTAGTATAGTGGGTTGAACACCTCCCGATCTGGCTTTAAAAAAAACATAAACATATGCATAGTATCATACTGTAACAAAAGGAAAAATGATCAATTATAAAGGTATTGGGTCACTTACAATATGCAGAGCCACATAAAGCTGGCTCTGACTTCGAAGGCAGATGCATAATAAGCTTATTCTGGCTTTCAGATTCCTAAGCAGGATAGCTCTTGTCCAGCCCCTCAATGAATTTAAGGATATCCAATATGGTGAAAAAGAAATAAACTTTACTGGATACAAAATAACACTGGAAACAAAAAGAAGTTTAAAATAACATGAAATAAATAGTCCACAACACTAACGGGTTTCGACCTCCAGGTCTTTGCCAAAGATTGTGATTGTGCTGTCTCTTTACCAAGAGGTAAAGACATAGACATGTACCAGATTATTGTTGGATACCTTGGAACTGAGGAACTGCAACAAAAGACCTAGATTGGCCTCTAATTTCCCTGGTTCTGTGATTTCCCTGGTGATGGTTGGGGAGGCCACCTCAGGACAGAGTCTCTTTTGTCACGGGTGGCGGTATGGAGACCGGGACCCCTGAGTGCCTGGTGATGATGGGAGTCTCAGCGTGGTAATGGACCATCAGGGCCTGGTGCAAGGTAACCCCACGCCCCCTGGTGTTGAGCACCAGCGTTTTTGCGGCCACATACCAGGGCCCTGATGCAGCTTCTGCGGATTGCAAGAGCTAGGAGCTAGATAATATGCAGAGCTCCCAGAAACTGGATAGGGAGCTCTGCGCAGATATGAATCCAGTACAGAAACAAGGCAAGACTAGAACAGACGCCAAACAAGAAAACAAGACAAAACTAGGAGAACCCAGAACTGGAGCAGGACAGAAAGCAGAACCCAGAACATGTACACAAGACATGAGGAAAATAAGAACAGGGCAGGACAGGACTGTACATGAACTGGGAATACAAGACAAAATAAAATAAGACAAGAGATACAAGGCAAAACAAGAAGAGCCATAACTAAATACTATATATGTAAAACATTGGAGATTTAGACATACATAAATTGCCAAGATGTTTGCAGCCCACCACTGCGGCAAAGTACTCCAATTACGGTGGGTTCCTAGACTGTCTAGACTGACTAAATAAACAATAATAAAACACACGCAGCACTTACCTGCAAGAAAGGGCAGAGGCCTTGGAGCAACTGCCTGCAGGAAGCAACTGAAACAAAAGGATAAATGGGAAAGGAACGGGTGGGGCAACAAAAAACAAACATTTAAAGGAATCCAAGAGACTAGGAATTCCAGGAACGGAATGCAGGAATGAACCCAGAAAACCAGACATGGAATAGAAAACCAGAAAAGCCAAGAAAAACTAAACAAAAATTGTAAAAAGAGTACTGGATACCAGAAGCCAAGGCCAGACATTTCCGCAGAACAGAGTAGGATGTGACCGTTTTTAGATGTTCTTTAATCGCAATATCCGTTTTCTTTTTTTCCAGTTTCTGACAATTAGGGTCTTGGCTGCCATAAGGCAATGTATTATTAGGATGTCTGCCTTTCTAACATCTTCATTATCAATTACATGTAGTAAATCAATCTCTGCTTTTGATCAAGTATTACCACTCCAATTTTATGAATTAAATTAAAGGCTACTGATAGTGAGTTTTCTCTGTCAGGAATTTTCCCTTGCCATGGTCTTTTGTATCAATTTGCAACTCTCTGTATTTCTCCTTGTCCCCAAACCAGCTGGTGAGGAGCAAGGTCTGGAATGCTTGGGCAAACTGATCTAACCTGTGGTCCATATCCTCCACCCTACTCTCACAGGCAATCATATGTTTGCATAGTTCCGCAGGATCCATGGCCCTGTCGCAATGTCACGGCTGCTAGTGTGGTCCAACACGTAGAAACTATGTAAACATATACATAAAAAAGGAAAGGAAATAAAAGGACAGAGCGTAAACCGGACCTTAGAATGGCCGGACTAATATGCTAGAGCTAGACAATGGTCAAAGGGAAAGCCGAGGCCAAGGAAGCCAGAAATACTCAGATACCGTTTAAACAAGCCAAGTCAGGGGAACCAGAATTCGAAATAACCAGGGAAAAGCCAAGATCAGGATACCAGGATGTCAGATTCACTAAGATAAACGCACTCTCGGGAACCAGGAACAGGAAACCATGACAGGGCAAGGAACTGGAGTGAATTAGGGATTTAGATATCCCTCTCTGGGCTCTGATTGGTCAGAGGGTTACCTCGGACCCCAGAACGTGCGCGGGCATTGACGTCGTGACATCAT